TTTAGGGTTAAGGGTTTAGGGAGCTGGGTACTGCCCCACCCATGAACAGTTGGATAATAGGTATAATTTACACAGAGCCCTTAATATGACCCCTAGTATAGACTGTTAATGGTCTGGGGCGGGACCCAAGGTTTAAGCTGAACCGTAAACACTAAACCCTAAACTCCTCAGGTTTAGAGTTTAGGATGATGGCCTGCCTGCGGCTTCGTCGAGTATGAGGTCATGAATCCTTACAGTTGTCGCTTTTTGATCCGCAACAAAAGTGTTTCTGTGTGTGTATATCTTATGATGCGCTAGGAAATCGTAGTCTTGTCGCTGTTCTGAAGAGCTTCGCAAAAGGTGTTGCCTGGGTTTCCGGTTTAGGGACTGTACACGTTTTTAGTTTGTGCTTTATGCAAGTTGTATTCATCTGGGCTTGCGGTTTTAGGGTAAAAGTTTAGGGTTCGTGCGATATCATGCGGGGAACTGGTGGCCAGGATCATTCTGCTCATGTTACCAGCGTGTAGGGTTTTTAGGGGCATTCTCAGAGCATCCATGCTGGAGAGCGGAGTTACGCTTACTTTCTTCAGGGTAGTACCTGAGTATCAACCCTAAACCCTAAACCATAAGCCAGGAGATGCTCCCTTATATCCCAACTATTAGAGCATCCATGCTGGCCAGGATAGTGATACGAGCTGCAGTTTAAACTCCTTAAAGGGGGTTATATAGAGGATCATGTAGGGTTTAGGGTTTAGGATTTGCAGTCTAATTCCTTAAAGGGGGTTACATGGGAAATTATTTAGGGGTTATTTAGCGGTATACTAGGAGTTCAGACTATAGCTCATATACATGTTCGCAGCGCATCCATTACTGGAGCATCCATAGTGGCTAGGATGATTGCATCCATATTCTCATCCCATTCTTCCAATAACCAGCCAGCACAGCGTTGTTCGAGTTCTGAGCCTAGACAGACATGGGTTTAGGGTTTAGGGTTTAGGGTTTAGTTTTGCAACCTGGGACGTGGGTGCCGAATACCCAAATTAACGGCTACGTGCCATGGTTTTGGGATCCAAGCCCGACGGTACATACCCTAAAAATTCAAGGCGCAAGGCTAAGCCCTAAATCCCAAACCCCAAAACTTAAAACCCTAAACCACCCCAAACAGTGCTTTGGCATACTGACTGGCTGACTTGTTTTGGCAATCCAGTGCTCCCTCTTGGAGCCGGGTGCCACAAGTTTAGGGTTCTACAGAGGTATTTAGGGTTAGGGCTTGGGTATATTACCCCGACAACGGAGCGTCACGTGGAAAATGAAATGGACAAGGACATGGAAATTCGGTTGAAATAGGGATTCATAGGGTTCGCCATCTTCGTCGTTTCAAGAATTTTGCACATCTAAAGGCCCCCCGAAGTGATGGCCATTGAGGTCTTATAGGGAACCCCATTAGGGTGTTCTTGGCATGGTTTAGCGCTCTTGTAGCCTTTTCAACTTTCTGGTTCCTAGTAGGGAGTAAGGGAATATAATCCCTCTCTAAGCCTCATAGACTCTATTCCCATGTTCCCTACTAGCACCCAGTAAGTCAAAGTTTAGATGTTGTGATCTGAGTGTTCACTCTGCGAGGGCTATGGGAGTGCCCTTGGAGTAGTAGTGGAAAAATGGAGCTATTTTTTTGGGGGGGGTTATATTTATAGTTCAGGGTTTCAGGTTTCGGCGCCTACATAAGTACTGGTATTCTGGTTATAGGTTCCTTGTATAACTGAAGTACAGGGTACCTCAAATAGACCCCAACACGAGATTGATAAGGGTTTTGGGTTTAAGGTTTAGGGTTTATCAGCTTAGTTTCCATTTCATTTTCTATTTTCCCTTCTGGTTCACCATTCTTGGGGGAATATTCCCCAAAGCCCTCTTGGAGTAGTCCGGGTTTAGTGTTTTAGCTTGCGTCTAATGGAGTGCCCTGCCCTTGGCGTCCTTCTAAGTATTCCTGCATCCACAGTAGGTTATTGCTGCATGGTAGGGGTTTAGGGTCTAGGGTTTAGGGTTTAGGGCAGGGTCACAAAGGCATATACATGAAATTCCAGTAAACGCGAAACTGAAGATGACTTTCCGTGTAGCGAATTGCTAGACTGGTACTCCTTGAAGGAGTAAACGGTTGCGGGCAGCCATTTTTCAGAGCTCAAACCTTACACTATGTACCCTAACCCCTAAACTCTAAACCCCTAAACCCTAAACCCTCAACCCCTAAACCCTGAACCGCTGGGTCAGGCTGCCGCCGCCTACCAGACACTGCTCCAGAACCACCCGTCTGTTGACAACTCGGGGCCCTTACCCTCCTTCGACTTTGGCTCAGTCATGGTGGTTTAGGGTTTAGGGTTTAGGGTTTAGGGATTTTATCCCCCTATAATGGAGAATCAAATGGAAAAGACAATGGAAAATGAAATGGAAACTGGGATTATAGGGTAGTTGAAAGGGATTATATTGGGGTTGTATTGGGATAATGGAAAAGAAAATGGAATCTACTAATTGGGGTTATATGGGGATAATGGAATATGGGGATAATGGAGAAGAAAATGGAAACTGCTATTCAGGGTTTAAGGTTTAGGGTTTAGGGTTTGGGGTTTAAGGTTTCTAGGGGAGAAAGTGAAAGGAGACATGTTGGGCTTATGGTGTGAGGGTTACAGGATTTAGGGGTTTAGGGTTTAAGGGTTTTAGAGTATATCTGTCTGAGGGTGTAGGGGTTCAGGGTTTATGCTTTCGAGACACCCTCTTGCCAACTCTACCATGGATTCTAGAATCTGCATCACGGGTGTTCAAAATTAAGTTACTATGGTAAGGAAACCCGATAACTCACTACACACCATATTATGGTAGCTTAACTTAAGTTCCTAGCTCTTTCTAGGCAGAGTGGTTCTTGGATGCTTGAGGGTTTAGGGCTTAAGGTTTAGGGTTTAGGGTCTAGAGTCTAGGCTTGCAAAGATGTGGAGAGGGGAGGATTCAATTTTCGGAACGTCGTCTTGCAATGCGTCTAGGTCACTATACCTCTTTGAGTTCAGCAATATGGTAGCTTCATAAATATGGGGGCCCCAATATGCACCCCGCATAACTCTTGTTATGTGGCGACTCCAAGAAGGGGCGTCTAACTTATGGAAGCCATCCATGTTTTTGCGGTTGTTATGCTATCCTCCAAGATTACCTTTCCCAGATTTTGAACCCTATTAGGCTCATTAAGGCCTTTTTAGTCCTCATTAGCTTTTCAAGCCCTGCTGGGGTTAACTCTTTTGGAGGGATTGTATTATCATCCTCTCATATTGCACCCAGGACCTCTTGCTGTTGGATATTGGGGATGATGGCCTCTGTGGCTCCTTGCGCCCTGAAAGTGACGAGATCAGAGCCGTCGGGAATGGTTCAGTGGTCTTCGGCATCTGTCACCCGGGAAATGAGCCATAGGCTACCTAATCGCCATTTTGGGAGCGATAATTTTGATCGACAATCAGATGCTTTAGGAATTTCATGGTCAGTCGAAAGCAAAAGAGAACCGGCAAAATTAGGGGTAAGATGCAACTTTTGCACTCCGCTCCGAAAGCAATATTTCTTGCCTGTTGTTGTTAGGGAACGAAGGGGTGGAAAATACAGGGACAATGCCATATAATTGGAGAGTATGTAGGGGCTACTCTAGGGATCCATTTCTCAGTACGTAAGTGTGTTAGGAGGATGCCCCTCAATTCTAAAGCCTGTTGCAAGTATGCTGAGGCCAGCCAGGCAAGAATCAGATCGCCATCTCAATGGATGTGATGTCTGCTGCCAAGAGCTTTGCCGAAGCTGAAAGTTTAGGGCTCAGGGTTGGGGAACTGGGACTCTAGGATTTAGCCTGCAGGGTTTAGGATCGCGAGTTAAGGGCTGGAATCGCGGGTTAGCCTCAGGTCCCTTCAATGGCAATTCTAGGGTAATATGAGCTTTGGGAGTGAGGAGGGTCTAGGGTTTAGGGTTTCTCCAATGGGGGTGAAACAGAGGGACTCTCGGGATATGTGGTGATTACAAAGGGATTTTTTTTTATCGATCCTGTTGTAACAGGCCTATCCGCAAAGCCCCTGCCCAATCCCAACCTCAAATGAATTTGGTCCCCCTAGACACTAAACTCCTTAAACTGGACTATACGAGGCCGTGGAGGCCTATTGGAGGTTCGGGGGGGGGCTCCTTTAGAGGCTCCATTAACAACCTCTGGATATAAACAGAACCCGAAACCCTAAACCCTGAACCTTAAACTCTAAACCCTGAGCTGTTGTATCCATCTGAGAAGTGAAGTCTGCAGGGATATCACTGGTCAGCCTTGTTTGCAACGAGGGTTCAGGGTGTAGGGGGCTTCCAATCTTGATGTAATTGTAGTTACAATTGCATTCTTGCCATACTACGGGACTCAGTGGGACTATATACATATATGATAATAATTTGATTGCAAGTGAAGTTATGCGTAAGTTATAATCATCTTGAACCCTCCAAGTGCCTGAGCGGTCAGCCCTATATCCTGAACCCAAGGCTTGAACCCTGGATCCTCAACCCTAAACCCTAAATCTAACACACGTACCCAAAACCCTCAAGCCTAAACCTTAAACCCTAAACCCTAGACCCTAAACCCTCAACCCTAGAACCATGGCCCTTTGCCATTTCGTGAGGAAGGCAATCTTCGCTGTGACTGGGGAAAAGAAGAAAGATGCTGTTCGCCGAGCCCTGACGAGGTTGCATGGGTTTAGGGGTTTAGGGTTTAGGGTTCAGGGCTCAGGGTAAACCCTGAACCCTAAATAGGGTTTAGGGTCTAGGGTTTACGGTTCCCTGAGCCCATAAACCTTGCAGGTTGCATGGGCCCTTCGATTGCCCCGCCGGCTTACTCAAGGCTGGGGAGTTAGACAAGCGCCACTCACCTCGCCTCGCAATAATGAACCCGCCCTACCTTCAGAATAATGCTATTTTCCATATAGTGCGATAAGCCTGAAACCCATAAGCCTTATATATATATACACACATATAGAGNNATATATATATATATATGCACATATTGTGGCGGATGCTTTGTTAGCTGGGTGTGGCATTTGTAGTAATTTTCGGGGCAGGGGATTGCAAGGTTTGCATCTGGCACCACGTAGAGGTACCAGTGTCCTCTCATCAGAAGGAATTTGGGGTGAGGGTTTAAGAGTTTAGGTTGTGGGGTCCAGGATTAGGGATTTGGGAGTGATTTCTCATGTGAAGAAGTGTTGCCGTTTCTTGCAGCACAAACGCACATTTTGAGTGCTCTTGTGTTTCTGGTGACAATGGACTCTAAGCCCAAATCCCCAACGTGAGGCGAAGTCAACAAGCTGGTTTGTCGACAAGGTTGCCTTCGATGAGAGTGACAGGATCGGTTGCTGATAGTTTTTTTTGATTATTCTTCCTATTTTTGCTAGTGGTAGACTTAGTTTTTGAAAACCCCGTTATATGCATGAAAGTGGATCTTCAGTTCTTCCTATGATACTTAGAATTACATGGAGGTTTTATGGGCAACTTATTCTTGTTCTTTCGAAGTCAACGAATAGGGCTATGAAGGGACGGCATAGGCATTCATATGGTTCAATGATGACATGGAGTATGCGCTGCGTAAGTAGGCTGGGAATGTATGAAAAAAAGAGCCATTGCAGGAATTATGTGCAGAATCCTCAGCAGTGCGCTTCAGTGATTTGTCCCTGTAATGTATTCCTTGTCATATCATTAGTCTTACCATTGCACTCATTTGCATGCCTATTTCACGTCTCATGTCAGCATTGTGAGTGGACACCCGCTCGAAAGGTTGTTAGTTGAATCCGTGTCTTCACACCACCACCGCCACCGCCGCCACC